TTGGAGCACAAAAACCCTTCCTAAACACTATTGGACCTTAGATATGGCTAGATGGCATCATGGAATGGACTTGTAACATTTTAAACTTGGATTTTGAGTCATTTGAAGGAGTTTACGGCCAAGGCACAAGCTTGGGCCGTAAACTCATGTAAATGGGGTTTTTAAGCCCTAAAACCCTACCTAAACACAAATGGACTTTAGATATGGCTTAATGGCTTCATGGAAAGGACTTATAACAATTTAAACATGGATTTTGATGGATTTGAAGGAGTTTACGGCCAAGGCACAAGCTTGGGCCGTAAACTCATATTTATGGGGTTTTCCTGACCTTAAACCCTTCCAAATCACTAATAAGGCTTAGATATGAATTATAGAATATTGGTTTTAGCATTTGGACACTTGAAACATAATTTTTGAGGGGTTATTGTGATTTTACGGCCAAGGCAAGATCTTGGGCCGTAAACTCCTTAAAACATGGTGTAAATTCATTTTAAAGTGTTATTTAGCCCCTACAACACTCCTAAAGCCTTAGAATGAATTTTAGAAGTCCTTACAAACAAGTTTTTGGCATTAAAACACTTGGAAATACTCTTTAAGAGAGTTTACGGCCTATGAGAGGGGTCTCATAGGCCGTAAACTCCAAAAATCTCTTCAAAACATCAAGTAAATACATGTAAGGTCTTGAAACAATTTTAGCAATCACATGTGATTTGTTTTAGCAACATTTAACACCATTTTCATGAGTATTAAGGAGTTTACGGCCAGGAGCCTATGCTAGGCTGTAAACTCCCATAAATAAGTCATTTTGATGTTTTAAATCCATTCCAAGCCTTTGAACTAAACCTAGAAAAATGTCCTTAAGTGTTACAAGCCATTTTGTGCCATAACTCACCCCACCATGAGTTTACGGCCGTAAACTCATGGGTAGAGGGTCATGTGGCCGTAAACTCCCTAAGGAGTGTTCCTTTGATGTCCCAATTCAATATCCTAACTATGTGTCCCTAAATGTCACCCGGGTCCCTACAAACACTTGTATCGGAGTGTTTTCGCGACTAGAAGTAATTGTCCTTATCAAGTAATCAATCTAGGTCCTAATTAGATACAAATGTGTATCTTTACATTATAATTAGGAACCTCGTGTGTTTGCAAGCCACGGACCAACACTTAGCATCCAAATCGTCACATTTCTCGTTCAGTGAGTTCATATCCCTACGCCCTTTTTTCCGTGTTTTTCAATGTTTTCAAGGGGGAATACAAGCAAACTATCATTGTTTTTAAATCATAATATTGATGTGTTTCAGATGATATCTGACAAAATTATAAACTCTTTTACTCCTTATGTATTATGCTGAGCATAAGGAATGATTTATCAACTACAACTAAATGTATTTTAGTTAAGAAAATAACCAAACTAATCAAATTATTATGGGAATAATTTGGGGTTCTTTACTGTTCGTTCTATCATATACTGATATCTATATAAAGTTATTAGATAAACTATGTCTGATTCAGTTTATCTCCGTATTATTTGAATGTATTGTCAGATAATTTCATTATATGTATTTATATTCGCTGTATTGCGTTTCATAATCTTCTGTATGTTGATATCGTATGAGAACCCTGTGAATAGTTTAGTACTAGTTTGTGAGATAGTCACTACCCTTTATGGATGATCAGTAAATCCTCCCTGGAAGTGTAACCAGAGTCTCCTAGAGGGAGAGCGTGGAATTTGTGAATAGATCTATTCGGGACTGACAATCCCACACCTTAACCGCTAGCTACAGTTAGGCGGGCACGCCTGGGGTGACAAATTTTTGGATATCGTTTCGACGTCTGACAAACGTGAAGGAGGTCTCGTTGTCGTATTAGCATGGTTACCCAACTCACAACGTGTATTAATAATAGTTTATTCACAGTTTGGGTTTTAGAATCTATATCTCTTTCGGGATAGTGATCCCATGGTATTATCAAACTATTTTGTATCTAGTCCGGGATAGTGATCCCATGGTTTTCAAATATATTTCTTAGTATATCAAACTATCTAGTAATTAGTTCGGGATGTTAGTCCCAAGGTTATCAAACTACTTTCTATCTACAATTCGTGAATATTATGGTATTTGATATCTAATTCGGGATGTTTGCCCCATGGTTTTTAACTATATCTCATACGGGATAGTAATCCCATGGTTTTCAATCTATAACAATTACGGGATAGTAATCCCATGGTTTAAACCTATATCTTGTCCGGGATAGTGATCCCATGGTTTTTAATCTATATCTATTACGGGATAGTAATCCCATGATTTCAATCTATATCAAGTACGGGATGATAATCCCATGGTCTAAATCTATATTTTGTCCGGGATAGTGATCCCATGGTTTTCAATCTATATTTCCATATATATATCAAATTATCTCGTGTCTAGTCCGGGATGGTAGTCCCATGATCTTAAATCTGTATTTTCATATGTGTCAAACTATCTTATATCTCTTTCGGGATAGTGATCCCAAGATTTCAATATATAGTTTTGTGTATTAAATTGTACTCTGTGTTATTAAATCTTGCATTTAGGAAAATATGGGATTTTCCTGGGGTAAAATACATCACATAATCGAATTGGTAACAAATGATAACTAAACTAACTTTACATAAGAAAATATGGGATTTTCTTGGATAACAAACCTTTTCAGAAAACTAAAGGAAACCGATACATTTTCATAAAACAAAACCGCTTATGAACTCACCAGCTTTATGCTGATTTTCAAACCGCTTGTATTCTCAGGTCCAAATTAGACAGGTACCCGATGATCTCTTTTGGTGAAGACGGAGTGCGTGGAAGACTTGCCTCAACTTTTGTTAATATGATGCATATGTATATCTTGTATAACTTTACTTTTGAAACAAATGTAAACTTTCATATATATGTAATGTAATGGTTGTTTACTGTGATTACTATGTACATTGGATTTGATACACAACCTGGAGTCCACCCCGGAAATGTTTCCGCCTTTGATTTTCGGGGTGTGACAGGAAGTGTGCCCGAATCCCTCAAAACAAGGCTCTAATACCAACTTGAAACATCCCGAAAACACAGTCTGAAAATTTCGTTTAATTTAATAATAAAAACCAGTCAATAAACCTCATATAAAAATCATACACAATTTATCTCAAAATATTGTAACAACTATCAAGTATATTAGAGTATAAACATCACAGGCTTAACTAATGGTGTGTGCACTGAAATCTTCCCGAGCTCCTCTTTTGAAAACTGAGTACGTGAAACAAAAACTGAAAACTATAAACACGAAGCTTACTGAGTCTCCCCAAACTACCACATATCATACAGTAATGTATAAACACATTTTGGAACTTGCCCACTCCATCGAACCGAGTCCGGAAACTGCATCGGACTGAAGTCCGGAAACTGGATCGGACCAAAGTCCAGAACTAACCAGGGCCTTTCCCTATGCATTGGACCGAAGTCCGAAAACTGCATCTGACCGAAGTTCGGAACTGACTGGGACATTGTCCCCTGCATCAGATCAAATTCCAAAACTAACTGCATCGGACCGAAATCCGAAACTGACTGGGACATTGTCCCCTGCATCGGACTGAAGTTCGAAAACTGACTGAGCATAACATAGCATAGCATAAACATATCAACTAGCATAAACACATATACTACATACTGCATCGGACCGAAGTCCGGAACACATAACACAAAGACATGCTTAAATCACAAAGACATCAAGCACACTGAACTACTGCATCGGACCAAAGTCCAAAACTACTGCTAACTAGACGGGCCAGCATTGTGGCCGTAGACCCGTTCCTACTGAAAGGAAAACTCATCTCACACTACTGAAGTCCCACTGACCAAAATCATTCTTTGGGTAATTACAACATAACTAGAAATACATACTTTGGGTAATTACAACATTACCCTAGATTGGCTTACCCAAGCCCAAAGCCCAATCCATAGGCCCAAAGTCAACTAGGGATTAAAGCCCAACATATGGCCCAATTTTCCAAATTGGGCACAAACCTCTACATGGACTTCCCTTAAGGTCCAATTGTTTAGTCCAATCCATCATGTCTCATTCTAAGGGCCCAATATCACACAACCCTCTAGGCCCAAACTATGGCTCATCTATAGCCTAATTTTCCAAATTAGGCCTAATCCTTCATTAGGGCCTTACCCTAACACCCAACTAAATATTCTAGTCCATAATCATTCTTTGATGGCCCATTATTGGCCCAATTACCAATTACCCAATTGAAAAGCCCAACTCAAGGCCCATTTTACATTAGGGTTTCACATAAAATAAGAATTAGGGTTAAGTGTTTCTCACTTAACCCATTAAGGGCTTAACCCACTAAGAACTTAATCCATTAAGTCCATTATTGCTTAGATTAATTTCTGCCAATTATTATTATTTAATATTTTACTTATTAAATAATTCTCGTGTGTGTGTCCGATAATTTCTCAAATATTAGGATTTTCTAAATTCGCCCATTAAGAACTTAATCTATTAAGTCCTTTACTCTACTAGATAAATGTCACGAAATAGTTTGAACTTAATTCCCAATCCAATCCCAATGGCCCAAAAGTGGCTCCAAAATATCCAAAGCCCAAATACTCAGACTTAGGGTTTTCATACAAACATGGCCCAATAGGCCCAAAATCAATCTTTAAACCCATTAGGGTTTTGGTTAGGTTCATTAGGGTTTTGCTTGCAGGGGACCTCCCACTACCACCTCGGGTAGTGGTGGTCTACGGCGGCCACCACCTTACGGTGGTGGTTACTATTAATTTTATTATTCATGTTAATTACAATTACATCGTTTTATCCAAAAAAAATAATACACACACTCACTAACATACACTAACTACTACACATACAGCCACACCATGGTGGCCGGCGGTGGTGCTTGGCGGTAGCCACCACCTCACGGTGGTGGTGATGGCTTTTCCAACTAACCAAACCACCGCAACCTTATGAAAATAAACACGCCTGATCTACTAAGTTACACACCCATACACAAGCTCATGGAGGTGGCTAGTGGTGTCAAGATCCGGCAGAAGGAAGGTTACACGGCAGCAGCAAGGTAATGGCCACCATTGGGCTGCCATGGTGGTTCCCACGCTTTTCCGGCCAACAGCAAGCAGGCACGCACACACGGAGACGAGTTGAGCAAAGGGAAAGCACCCCAATCATAGGTACCCTTGCGGCGGCTCATGGCGGTCGAAAGAAAAGAAGCGATGGAACAACCTCCTCGTGGTTGAACAGGCGATGGCGGCGGCGGCTAGCTGCACTCATGACGACGGATGGCGAGCAGCAGCAGCGAGATTAGCACCCACAGCGGCGGGGCCAATGACTGGGAAAGAGTATCAGCCGCAACAGGAGAACGTCCAACGACAGGGGTGGTCTTCAACGAGAACGGCAGCAGCGCCTCCACGGTGCTTATACGACCGGCCACCATGGTTCTTCCCCCTCTATACGCTACGTCCAGCGATTTGGCTTCACCGGTTTTCGTCTTCACGACGGCTAGGAGATTGCGACGGCTAGAAGAGAGGTGAGGCGAGGGTGGCTACTGGAGGATCTCCGATGATGGCGGCTGACTTCATGAGCTAGGGTTAGAGTCACCGGGTGAAGGGTCTTATATACCCTGATCCCATAAATGAGTTTCCCATAATTCGATCCCTTCTTCTTTTCTTTCAAAATACTCATATTTTAGACTTTTAACCCTGTCTTCAGAAATCTTTACAATTGAATCCAAAACTTACCTTTTAAGCCTTGAGCCTATAAATTTCTTTCATAATAGGTCCCTAAATCACCAATAAACCCTTAAGCCTTCAAATCTCTTCAATTTAAGTTCCGCACGTACACTTTTAACCCTAGACTTTCAAAATTCTTCACAACTTAGTCTGGGACGTAGATTTATTAATTTATTTAAATAAACGGGGCGTTACACTTATAATCTCAATAAAAGTAACGTATTTCTATAAAATTCTTTTTTTTTTCTGGAAATTTAATTTGGTTCGATTCAGCTGTTAATATGGATATACTTACTGATTTTTGGATTTCACTGTTTTATTTTTGCTGATGAGTATGAGTATATGATTAGGGTTGTCAACATAGAAGGGTGTGCACAATGAATTAAAATGGTTAATAAGTCAACTATTTTGAAATCGAAAAAAAGTATTAGATTTGATCTAAGATTGGTTCTAGAGTTATTATTATTTGGTTAAGGATTTTGTAGAGTTTACTAATCTGCGGTGTTTTTATATGAGTACAGGGAAAAGGTTTTGTTGGTTTTAGTGAAGGCGATGAAGAATCCAAGAAGCACTTTGTGCAAAACTTCTATCACGGCTGCTTCTGATATTTTCAAATCATATGGTGATAAGTTGCTTAAGTCCACAACATGTGATGCTTTTGACCACATGTTATGACTTAGATGATGGAAATTATAGAAAAATCAGTTTTAATATATCTATTTTACAACTAAATCTCAATAAGTGGAGCATATGAATGATTTAGCATCTGAACTATCAACCACAACAACGAACAAATGTTTCAAGATTAATCAGTTCAAAGATCTGTTGTCAATATGCACACACATGGAGGTAAATAGACATCAACTCCAAATTATCTTTTAATTTCTATTTTATTGAACTATTTATCATCATTTCTTATATACTCATGTTTTGAATGAAATTATTAATCACATTTGATTCACACGTAAATCATATTTGATTCACATGTAATTCACATTTTATTCACATATAACTCACATTTGATTCACATGTAATTCACATCTTAATTTTTAAATGAAACTAGTAATCACATTTGATTCACATGTAAATCACATTTGATTCACATTTAATTCACATGTAAGTCACATGTGATTCACATGTAAATCACATTTATATTATATGTGTTTCACATTTGAATTACATGTGATTCACACGTGAAGAACATGTGATTCACACGTGAATCATATGTGATTCACACGTGAATCACATGTGATTTACATGTGATTCATATGTGAATCAGATGTGATTCACATATGAATCATATGTGATTTACATATGATGTCATACGTAAATGTGATTCATATGTGAATCGCATGTGATTTGTAACATCCAAAGTTTCAAAAAAATTTAAACTTTTAAAAACATATCAAGTTCATCAAAATATTACAACTTTGTTTTTAAAACATTGTTTATCAGAGTCTTGTCCCCAAAAATAACATAATAGGAGGAGTTGTACGATCACGCCTTGGCCTTGCCGCGATCCCCAAATGTACCTGAAACAATAAACTGAAACTGTAAGCCCGAAAGCTTAGTGAGTTACCCCAAAATACCGTTACACATACAGTTCACATAGCAATATGTGACAACCTGAAATTTTCCATTCTAATCAAACCGGCCATTTCAATCCAATAGAAGTAGAGCAGTTACAATGAAAATTCAGACTTAGAATATAAGTTTGGCAGTTTTAAGGTTTTACACCAAAAAGGGGTATTAGGAGAGTGGTTGCACTAGGATTTTGTGCAACACTGTAAATTCCATTACCCTAGATCATTAGAATCCATTCCGAGAATAGAAATATTTTCTGCCAAAATATTTCAGGACTATAAATAGTTTTCTGAACCAAATTCATTCATTATTCACAATTCCAACTAGAGAAAAGCCATTTTCTCTCTAACGGATCTTCGGGTTTTTATCCCAAATTGTGAGTAACTCTTTCTAGTAGTGTTAGAAAGCTTTAAATGTGTTCATAACATAGATTACATAGCTAAATCATCCGATTTAGGAGTTTACTTCCCAAGGTGTTCTTGAGCGGTAAACTCCCGAAACCGAGCCTAGATTGTCCCCCGTGCTTAGTAGCTACCTTAGACATGTATAGGAGTGTGTTAGGTACAATAAATCAGCCAAGAAACACCCAAAGTTAGGAGTTTACGACCCAAGAAAAGCAATGGCCGTAAACTCCCTTGAAACATGCTCAAATGGTGTTTTTAGGGCACCTAAAGCTTGGACTTTATGTTAGACAAATACCCTAAACTATTTAGGACCTAGAAAACATAAAGAAAGCACATGTGTGGAAGAGTTTACGGCCAAGAGTAATTCTTGGACTGTAAACTCCTTTAAAGGGGTCAAATGACACCCTAAACACTTCCTAAGGCCAATGGACAATTTTGATAAGTACCTAGATGAGTTATGGACTAGCTAGAACATTTAGAACCCCATGTTTGAGGGAGTTTACGGCCCAAGATGTTCTATGGCCGTAAACTCCAAGAAATGGTACCAAATGGTGCCATAAATCCTCCTAAAGCCAAGTACTAAAGCCTAGACTTGTTCCTAGAAATGTTTGAGACTTGAAAGCACCATAATCACCCTCGTAAGGGAGTTTACGGCCGTAAACTCCAAGGGAAAAGGGTCTTTGGGCCGTAAACTCCCCAAAGGAGTCAATATGGTGCCCAAACACTTGTATATGCCTTGAAACAATTCCCACTAAGGTTGTAGTATTTGAAAGTACCACCCCAAGCCTTGGTTGGGAGTTTACGGCCAGGAACTTACTTCCTTGGGCCGTAAACTCCAAAGAATATGGTCTTTTGACCTTAAACTCACATTAGGGGCATTGCACTCCTTTGTTGCAACCCTTTAGCCTCCTAGCACTTGACCAAAAGTGTTATCCTCGCGCTTAAATGTTATTACTTGTATAATTAGTGTTATAATCACTAATTATTTATATACATATGTTTTCATATGTAATTAGGATCATTGTGTGTGTCTAAGTCTCCACTTGACACCAAGCACTTGTCCGATCCTTCCGTACGATAACAGTCCGTTCAATTCCAGTCACTTACTACAGGTGAGTTCATACCCCTTAACTAATGTTTTAAACTCTTTTTAAATGTTTTATGGGGGGGGGGATACAAGTAGAATCATGCTACTTATTATGTCAATCACATGTGATTAGTAAGTAGGACTATGTTACTTATTACATCAATCATATGTGATTAATATACAACATTCAAATGATTTGGCTACTTAGTAGCTGTTTTACCAAACAGTTTCCTTCAAATGACTTTTTATAAACATTTTATATGTTTTAAACTCCTTTTTACACTGTACAGCTTACTTTGTACATTTCCTTTCAAACATATTTACAACTGTGTTTCAAACAAATGTTTCCTATTACTTAAACTGTTTTATTAAACTTATGCCTTCAAATTGTTTTATAGATTGACGTCAAGTTGATCTTTTCTTAAAATAATACTTATATTTCAAATGTCTTACAAAACTTATTTATGCTTTTATATTATAAATTGCATGCCTCTATATGTATATTTATATAAAAAAATGTTTAAAAGACTTAGGAAGGCTATCCACCCTATTTCCTTTTCGTGCCTTGAGATGTGGTCTGGTGGGATATTGGGTATTCGTCCGAAAGTCGTTTAAATATTAGTTATATATCATGTGTACATATATAGTCATAAAAGTTCCTTCCAGTTCAACATATGCCCTTGGGTAGCAAGGGTATACATCCATGTCCATACGTACCACTTAGATTACTAGAAAGCTACCATATGGGTAGTTCAGGAAGATACCAAAACCACTACTAGAACGCGATATCATACAATGAGTTAGTTCATTCATGAGTCAATACTTTCTAGAACATTACAGTACATTACATATACAACTATACTAGGACGAGAACATATACAACTATACTAGGATGAGAACATATACAACTATACTAGAACGATTACATTACTATACTTGCTAGGTAGAGAGCACGTACATTACAACTAGAACAGTTCATCACATTATAGCTAGAACAGTTCATTACATTACAGCTAGAACAGTTCATTGAAGTACATATACAAGAATACGTTAATTATTGTGATTTAAATCGGAGCATGACTTAAATGTCATGGCTCGAGTTGTAGCCAGAATTCTCTTGGAGGGAGAGCATGAGTTTGCATATAGATTCTATAATGGACTGACTATCCTACACCTTGCTGCTCGCTACAGCGGGACCTGCAGGTTTACGGGTGCCAAACGTCATACATTAATTTCGACCATTCTTATGTCGATGTAATCAGTCTTTAGTATGAGTTTGTGTATAGATCTATACTGGATTGACTATCCTACACCTTACTGCTAGCTACAGTGGGATCTGCAGATCTACGGGTGCCAAACGTCATTCCGTTATTACGGCCATTCATTATGTCGTTGTTACTAGTCGATAGTATGGTGCAATTTATCACATAATGCCTTAATATAAAATCCGGTTTAAGGGAATTAGTACGACAGTAGTTCTTACAACACTACACCATAGTACTATTTCATTTTCCCATTACATTCACTTCGTGAACATTCACACGACGCACAATAATGTAGAAACTATATTTATGGATAATGATAGTTATACTTGGGAAAATACATACTCTTACAAGAAACATACATTCAGAACAGTTAGGTTTTGGTAGAAGACTACATTCAGAACAGTTAGGTCTTGGTAGAAGACTACATTCAGAACAGTTAGGTCTTGGTAGA